AAAAAAAAAAAAAAAAAAAAGATAATGCTAAATGAGAGCCCATGCAACTAGGAAAATCACGTCAAAATCTAGTCCTTTTAGCGACACACAGTGGCCCAGGCCTATAGTTCCAGCTACCTGAGAGGCTGAGGTGGTGGATCATATGAAATCATGAGTTTGGGACCAGACTAGGCAATACAGTATAACTATTTCAAAACTAAAAAGCTAGTCCTTTATCTTATTTATGTGAGGCAGGTTGTTTAGACAGGGTCTCACTGTATAGTTCAGGCTGGCTTTAAATTCACCATGTTGCTGGGCATGGTGGTACACACCTGTAAGCCAGCACTCAGGAGGCTGAGGCAGAAGGATTGCTGTGAGTTCGAGGCCAGCCTGGGCTACATAGTGAGTTCCAGGTCAGTCTCAACTACATAGTGAGACCCTATCTCAAAAAACCAAAAATAAATAAATAAATTCACTATGTTGTCCTGTTGGCCCGGAACTCACAGCAGTACTGCCTTAGCCTCCCAAATGCTGGGATTGCAGGCATGGTGCTACTGAAAAAAATCAAGTCCTGTAAAAATTTTCAGGGGCCAGGGATTTAGCACCGTGGTGCTACCACCTGCCTCGCAAGCACAAGGTCCTGAGTTGGATCCCGGTACCAAAAAAAAAAAATTTTTTTTTTAGACAAGGGAAAGAGAAAGGAAGGAAGGAATAAGCGAAAAAAAAAAGTGAAAATAGAAGGGGAAAATGGAGAAACAAAGCTTTTGTACATAGGAAGGGGAGGGGACTTGTGGGGGAAAATGGGATAAAATTTTAAAATAACGTTTAGAGCTGAGCATAGTGGTGCATGCCTATAATCCCCAGTACACTGGGAGACTGAGACAGGAGTATCTCAAATTCCAGCCCACTCTGGGCAATCTAGCCATTTTTCTTTTCAGCTTTAATTGAGTTTATTGGTACATTTTAGGGATACAGTACAGTTACATTCATTGTTGGGATCTTGTACCTCTACATGACAGGTCTTGGTTCAATTTAGCAATTTTAGCAAGATCTTGTCTCACCAAAGAGAAGCAGTTGTAGGTCTGGGAATTTAACTTGGTACACAAGCCCTGGTTCAATCCCCAGTAATTTGAAAAGCAAAAACAAAAAACATAAAAACACAGGATTTTTGCTGTTATAGAGGTTTCATAGCTACTAAGTGTGATAGCAAATATTTGTAATCCCAGCACTTAGGAAGCTGGGGAAGAGGACTACTTGTTTCAGGCTAGTGTGGACAATTTAGTGTGGTGGGGGCTCTGTGGATATAATTCAGTGACACACTGCTTGCCTACCATGGGTAAAAGCCTGAGTTCAATTTCCATTACCAGAAAGCTAAACTGTTTTTTGTTTTTGGTACCAGGGATCGAACTCGGGTCCTTGTGCTTGCGAGGCAGACAGCAGAATCACTGAGCTAAATCACCAGCCCTGAAAGCTAAATTGAATGAATGAATGAATGAATGATGAACAGTGAGGGAGTGGGAACCAGTATACCCACTGAATACTCATAACAAAGCACTTGTATATTCTTATTCACTCTTCACAACTCTAAGAAATCAGTGTTATTCCTATTTTTACAGATACAGAAACTAATCTCAGAGAGGTTAAGTGTCTTGCTGGCCAATGAGGATCCAAGATCAGTCATCATCTTAATCCTAGGCCAGTGGTCTTTCTGCTACACCTTACTCTATGGAGTTGAATCTCCATGTTGTTTATCTTCAGTAACTATGTAAAGTAGTATTTCTAAAAAAATTTTTTTGAAAATTCCTCCATACCTATAGTCCCCAGCTACTCATGAGCTTAAGGCACGAGGATTGCTTGCAGTCAGGAGTTTGATACCAATTTGGGCAATATAGCTAGACCCCATTTCAAAATAAAACAAAAAACTCAGGACTTGAGATGTAGCTCAGTTGTAAAACACTTGCCTAATATGTTTGAGGTCTTGGGTTCAATAGTCATTACTAAATAAATAAAATCCTTTTTACCACTCTTGGTCATTTTAGCTGCTATTTGTTCTATCTTTATGTGTTGGGGCAGGGTGGAGTCACCATTTGTTTCAGTTATGGGTGTACAAAAGTCTTACAGATGAGTCAGACTATTATCGACTATATCGTTCCTTTTTTTTTTTTTTTTTTTTTTTTTGGTACCAGGGATAGAACTCAGGACCTTGCACTTACTAGGCAGGCGCTGTGCCACTGAGCTAAATCCTTGGTCCTTATCTTTTAAAATATCTTTAAAGCAATACATTGCGCTGATGTCTCTAGGATACAGTTGATAATGAATTAAAAATGCCCTTGGGGTTAGGACTAGTAGAGTGCTTGCCCAGCATCCATGAGACCATGGTTTTAATCCAGAGCAAATGAAAGGAAAAACAATCCCCTTACTGAGTTGCAGATAATAATTTATAATCATACAAATAATAAATCTTGGTTGTTCAGAAACAGGTTCTGGAATGAGGCCAACCTCAGTCTGAAGTCTAGCTATGCCAAAGATTTGACCGTGTTGCTATGTAGTTCAGGCTGGCCTGGAACTCTCAGGAGGAGCAACCCTCCTGCATCAGCCTCCTGAGTGCTGGGATCACAGGTGTGCGCCACTATGCCGGCTTACTCTTCTTTAGAGATACTATTAGGCATATAGTTTAGAGTTCTTGTGAGGATTAACTTAGTGTGTGTACATAGTTAGATAACTGGAAGCACTTAGTGTATTTTAGCTATTATCTATTAAAAACAGAAATTTGGTTTACCTGTGGTAGGTAATTTGTTGTATTTAAGTAGCATTCAATCACTTGTTCTTGGCCACGAGGGGGCACCACTTCCCCTATCCATTTTAAAGAAGTCCTCCCAAGGTCATAATCTCAATGCTCAGTTTTCTCTATTCCCAACTCTGCTTCCCAGAGAATTATATTTGAATCTACAGTTCATTTGGCTGCTTTAGTCCTACTAATCTCAATCAATCTTCTTTTCTCCTTTTCTCTTGGACAGGTTTTTTGTTTGGTTTGGTTTGGTACCAGGGATTAAACTCCGGACCTTGCGCTTTTGAAGCAGGCAGCAGAACCACTGAGCTAAGTCCCTGGCCCTTGGACAGGTTTTTGCTATGTAATCCAGCCTAGACTTGAACTCCCTATATAACTCAGGCTGGCAATGAATTTGAGATCCTGCTGCCTCAGCCACCTGAGAATTGAGATTACAGTTGTGGGCTACTTCATTAGCCAGTCTCTTAACTTTCTATCTCCCCAGATCCAATGTAGGCTCAGAAAGAGGCTAGGGGCACACCACTGGTGCTTTCCAGTGGGAGAGTGCCTCCCTAGCATGTGGGAGGCCCTCTTCAAGTCCTAGCATTGCCCTCCTCAAAAACAAACAAACAAAAAACAGAGTGGTGACACATGCTTGTAATCCAAGCATTCTGGAAGCTAAGGCAGTAGGATCACAAGTGTGAGCCCAGCCTGGGCAATTAGTGATTTAGCAAAATCCTGTCTTGAAAAATAAAAAGGGTTAGGGATACACCTCAGTGGCAAGGCCCTGAATTCAGTCTCTTAATAATGAAAGGAAGAAAAGAGACTAAACCAGCTTCTGGGAGGTTCTAATTTAGCCCTTTAAATCCCTGGGCTTTCTCACTGGCTGTGCAGCAATGGATGTCAAATTAGACAACTTCAAAACCTGTTAATAAAGTCCTCTTGATGCTAGGCAGGATCCTACATCAAGGAGCTTAGAATATCACTGTTACCTACCCTTTCTCCAATTATTAAAATCCCAAAATGTTACATTTATGGCCACCCAAAAATTGTCTCTCTGGTAGCTTTATCCTGAGAAGTCACCTGTCTGTTGGGCACTGAAGTTCAGCTCTGATTTGCTGCCTAGTCCCTGTGGATGATTAACCAGAAGGTAGGAACAGGCTCAGACTATTCTAGCATTATGAGGAAATACTCTGTGAGATGCTAAATTGGGAGCAAAAATTGATCAGTGGAGCTTTGAAATTACCGGGAGATAGCTGAGGTTACTGCTGCTGCTCTACATGCCAGAGGAACAATAATTGGTAGATGTGAAGCTGGCTAGGAGAAAATTTGGGAAGAAGAACCGAAAGCTTTCTCTTTTTTGAAGTTTAAGCTATAAAATTCTTTAAAATGAGGTCTATGTAAACCTGGTTTAGATGGATAATGGGTCCTGTGAACCTTATTACTGTTATGGGGAGATAAAGGGACTGGACTGTTCACTTGGGATTTGCAGATAAAGGGCTATGCTCTTTGGGTCAGCTCTTTATCCTTAGACCAATGACAAGATAGGCTTAAGGGATGTTCAAGTCCTGAGGTCTTATACCCTGAGAAGTTAAAGCATGGGGGAAAATCACTTTAGTGCCATGGGTCTCAGAAAGCTCAGCACAAGAAAGTATAAAAGGCTGGGTACGGTGGCACACCCTTATATCCCAGCACTTTGGAGGCTGAGCCAGGAGAATTGCCGCAAGTTCAAGGTCAGCATGGGCTGACATAGTAAGCCTACACTACAAAGTGAGATGTGTCTCAAACAAAAAAAAAAAAGTATATCAGATGCCAAGTAGGAGAAGTGGCCCAGATCCCCTCTGAGAATAATCTGAGTGAAGTGACCAAAAGGCAAGGTGCCTGATGCCTAATCTTAGATAAAAGGGTTGTTCTGCAGCTCCTGATCCTGTGACTAAATGCAGGATGGACTGGCTCTATGGGGTTTTATGACTGGAATGGCAGTGAGAGTAATGTCTAGGATCCAGAGGTTCTGACAGGTAATTAAAGGCGTCATACTAAAGGGGTATTTTTACATTTGAATATGTTCTGGCTTTAAATATAGAACTGAAGCAGGCGTGCTGGTGCACACCTAATTGCACCACTTAGGAGGCGCAGGCAAGAGCATCGACACAAGTTGGAGGCCAGCCTGGGATATATAGTGAGTTCAAGGCCAGTCTGAACTAAATAGGCAGGGGGCCTCCAAAGTGCAAGGGCCAGAGTTTGATCCCCGGTACCAAAATAAATAAATAAAGGGACAGGGATTTAGTTCAGTGGCACCAATGTCTGCCTTGCAAGTACGAGGTCCTGAGTTCGATCCCTTTTACAAGGAAAGAGAGGGAGGGGGGAGGGGGAGGGGCACCTCAAAGGCCTGGATATTCAGGTTACTATTTTTGCTTTTTTCTTTGTACTGCGTTCTGTTAGTATCTATAATACGATGGCCTCTGCTGACCTCAAATGATCTCCACCAAGCAGCTAATTCTGGCATCATAGCTTCTTTTCATGTCACCTCTATAGTCATGAAGTCATTAACCAAAAACATTCTTCCAGAAACCCTGCCACTGGACATGGTGGCACACCACCCTTAATCCCAGTACTTGGGGGGCTGAGGCAGGAGGATCGCCACAAGTTAGAAGGCAGCCTGAGTTACATAGTGAGTTCAAAACGTAGCAAGACCCTGTTTAAAAAAAAAGCAAAAAAAAACATGCGGTGGGGGGGTGGACAGGAGGAACGGACAGTGATAGGTTGCCATGATAATATATTAAGGAGTTGGTTCCCAAAGACCTCAAGACCTTCAAAGGTCAAGTCCTACCTGGAGCTTCACTTTTACTATACTCTGGAGAGCCCAAATGTTTAAGGGCAAAAGGAAAAGCCAAAGAAGGAAGTTAACTGAGTTCTCAGGCACTTCCTTAGCCACCTCCAATTCCCCCCCCCACCATTCACCCGTAATTAGACTAATCCGCGCGGTCCAATCCTCCCCGCTACAACAGCTGTCAACAGCTCAAGTCCCACCCTTCCTTCAGGCTAGACCAATGGCCGGGCCCAGGGCGAATCGCTTGAGAGGGGCGGGGTCAGGTCACGGGCGGGGGTGTGGCTTCGCTGAGGACCCCGGGCTGTGCGCCGCTGCCGGTTAGTCTACCCTGTCCCTCAGCCACCTCCTTTTCAACCTTGTCCACGGGTTGGCTTGGCGTGTGGTGCGGCGGCGGCGGCTTCGGTTCCTGCCGCAGCTCTCTCCCCATCCTTCCCTTCCCACCAGACCTGGGGTTCGCCCGCCATGGCTCTACTCTCTGCGGCCGCCCGGCTTTTGGGAGCCAAGGTGAGCAGCCCACGGAGAGAGCGCGCCGTTCTGGGGTGGGGCTGCGGCGGCCGCAGGCCCTCAGTGCCCGGGTCTCCCTCCTTTTCCCGTGCGCGCCCCTGTGCGCCTTAAAGAGGCTCCGTGCTTGGCTGCCCGCCAGCCCCGTAGAGAGTTTCTGGGGCCATGTGCTGCGCTGCCCTTTCGGCTCCTGGGGTGAGAAGAAAGCTGCCGGCGCCGGCCTGCAGCCTAGGGCGGTGGGAAGGCCCGAACCTGCTGTCACCCCACGTGTCTAAGGTAGTGGGAGGTGTGTGGCCCTGGAAAAAAGCTGCCAAGGTAGGAAGGACTCCCTAGTAGGGACTGAGATGCGGCGTTCCACTAGAGTTAGAGAAAGAATTGTTTGGTAGAGAGGCTGGAGATGAACAGATCAGCTCACTCCCTTCGCTGGAGCTGTGGCTAATTTTGGCTCTGCTTCCTAGAGACTTGTCAGTTCCTGAAGTACGTGTTTCCATTTTTCCAGCTCAATTATTGAAACCTTTAGTGACTTCACCCTAGCAGTTAACTGCTGGAGGAATGGGACCACCCTGCTCCTCTTTGTCCTTGGGACTCTAGCACTTAACTCTCTATAGGAGGAGCTTGGGTAGGGTGGGGCATTTATGTAAAATCTCCTGCTTGATTATCACTGACGGTTGGAGAAAGAACCAGAAAGGTGGTTCCACCCAACTCCGGGCCCATAGATGAAAAAAACTCGCCGAGAGGTAGGTAGTAATGGCGAGGTCGCATGACCAATCTTACTACTTGCTCACCTAGGTTTTGTAGTTGATTATGAAGTTTCCTCTACCCTGAATGTCCTTGTATTTTTCGGGGCCCTAAAAATTTGTTTCCTTTCGGATAGTGGAAATATTATTCCAAGTAAAGAAAGATGTTTGACTTTGGGTAATTTGGCCCTTTAAACAGAAATTGCTGTACTGAGGGAATCCCAGCTCTCTAATCCAAGCAAGGCGGTCCCCCACAAGTGACCTTGACTTCTGCAGAGAGCTTACATTTTCTCGGTACAGTTTGAAGCTGTCAGCACCTGAAGGAAAGGAAAGGTTTAGAATGCTTTTGGGTGACTTACTGTGTTGTCATGCGTGGTTGGCAGCGATAAAGTGAAACCTGTAGGATTTATCTTGGGGTGTTTTCCAGACATTCAGCACTAAAGTAGAGACATCATTTGAGAGCTACTTTGTCTTACTTGGCTATTGCTACTCCTGAAACTAGGGAAGAGGGTAAAGAAACCTCTTGGGAAATGAAGCAATTTCTGGATAGTGTTTTGTCAGAATAGGGGACTTATAATTAGCTTCTTCCAGAGCTGCTCACCCAGACCAAATAATTGAGCCCCCCACATGAATTTGGAAAAAACCTTTGGATTTAACCTTTTTTTTTTTTTTTTTTTTTTTTTTTTTTTTTTTAGACATTAACGCAGTTCAGGCTGACCTCAAACTCAAGGCATTCCTGCCTCAGCCTCCCAAGTGCTGGGATTACAGGTGTCTGCCTCCACACCTGGCCTGGATTGAACTTTTGAATTTATTTTATCTCTCTAGTCTAGAAAATTAAGCACTCTAAGGAATGCTTTTGAGATGACAGGGCTTGATGATTTAGGCATATTGTTTCTATTTTCATGTTAGAGATGATCTGAGGATCCTAGAAACCTATAAACTGGGTTCATTAGAAAGCTTCTGATTCTTAAAAAAAAAAAAAGCTCACCTGACCCAGGAGTGGAATTTTCTGAGAACTTAGTGTAATGATCTGTATACCAAGAGGTCTTTCAGTTTCTCTGCATTATTTTCACCTGCCTGAGCTTTTTAGCTTACCCTGCAGTTTAATTGGTAGTTTTTACTAGTAATAGATTTTACTTTGAATATGAAGGTAGGTTTTATTTTTATTTTTTATTTATTTTTTGTTTTATTTTGTTTTGTTTTGTTTTTTTGAGACAGGGTCTCACTATGTAGTTGAGACTGACCTGGAACTCACTATGTAGCCTAGGCTGGTCTCAAACTCACAGCGAACCTCCTGCCTCAGCCTCCCGAGTGCTGGGATTACAGGAGTGCGCCACCACGCCCGGCTGGTAGGTTTTATTTTTAATTTTTAAAATTGGGTTGGGTTGTTTGTTGGTGGTGTTGTTTTGGTTTTTTGAGACAGGGTCTCACTACTTAGTTGAGACTGACCTGGAACTATGTAGCCCAGGCTGGTCTCAACTCACAGCAATCCCCCTGCCTCAGCCTCCTGAGTGCTGGGATTACAGGCAAGCATCACCCACCACACCCAGCCATTTGTTTTGTTTTGAGACGGGATTTTATGTAGTTCAGGCTGGTCTTGAACTCAACTATATAGCACAGGCTGACCTTATTTTTTTTTTTTTTTTTTTTTGTTCTTGTTTTTTTTTTTTTTTTTTTTTTTTTTTTGTACCGGGGATGGAACTCAGGACCTTGTGCTTGCCAGGCAGGCGTGGTGCCACTGAGCTAAATCCCTGGCCCTCGCACATTTTAGAATATACATAATATTAACATTCATCATAGGGAATTCATACCTGAAAATGATATATCCTGCCTCTTTTTTTCCCATTCTTCTCCCTCTAGCCCCCCTCCCTTCTCTATATACAAAAGCTTTGTTTGCATTTTTTCCTTCTATTTTTGGCTTTTTTACTGGTCCTTTCCTTTCTCCTTGCCCCCTCCCTTGGGATTGAACTCAGGACCTTGTGCTTGCCTGGCAGGCTCCCCTGCCCCGCATTTGAACATTTAGGCTGACCTTGAATTTAGGGAAAACCTGCCAGCCTCTTCAGTACTGGGGATTATATGCATGCACCACCACACCCCACTTTTGTAAAGGAGACAAAATATCCACCTGACCTGGAAAAACTGATTGATTCTCGAGGTCATATGTAGTTTTTCTTCTTTTCTGAGAAAAGATTTTTCTTTAACCTTACTAAAACAAAAATGCTAGTCAATGTTCTGTTGTTCCATCCTACATAGTCAGGTAATTTAAATGAATACCTGAGTTGGAGACAGACCACCTCAGAGTCTGATATTATCTGACTTTATTTATCTATATGAATTAATATAAAGCAACGTCCTTAATATTGGCTGTAGGTACCTCAATTTTGTGACTTAACTGTCTTGGCGGGGGACTCTAGCTCAGTGGCAGAGTGGTTGTCCAGCATGCATACTGCACCACTCCTCCAAACCAGAAATTGTTTTTCTCCCTTTTCCTCCTTGGGTGTTTTGAAACAGGGTCTCGCTGTATGTAGCCCAGGCTGGCCTTGAGTTGCAGCAATTCTGCCTCAGCCTCTTGAGTGCTGTGATTACAGGTGTGTGCCATGCCAGGCTTCAAACTAGGATGTTTAAGGGAAAAAAATGTTTTTTGTTGTTGTTTTTTTGAGACAGGGTCTCGCTATGTAGTTGAGACTGACCTGGAACTCACTATGTAACCTAGGCTGGTCTCGAACTCACAGCAATTGAGGAAATCAATTTTTAATTTTTATATTTCTAGGTATTTAAATGAATGGGTCCTTTACAGCAGATTTATACTACTGTGCATATCCTGCATAAGAACCAGTCTGAAGTTGGTTTCAACAAAACTGAGTTTGTTTTATCCTGTGAAATAATTGGGTTTAAAGCCCAGGACTTGTAAAGGCAAGAGCTCAGATCTCTGCATTTACCAACAATCATCCTATTCAAAGGAAATGATGATTCCATGACACTTTGTGGGTGGACCAAAGATTGGAAGGAGCCTTGCTTGTCTAGTGCTGGTGGTGGGAGGAGAGCATTTTTTCTAGTGGCTTTAGATTGGTAGCAGGTGAATGAATGCATGAATATAGGGAGACTGGGAGGACAGCAACAAAGTAGACTTGAAGAAAAAAGGAAGGGCTGGGATTCCTGGTTCTTAGAATCTGAGTGTGCAGTAGATAAGAAAGCAGACATGGATTTCAAAAGCCACACAGTAATTTCTGCCTTCTACTGGTACCTTTTGTGATAAGAGTTGAGTACGTTGTAAAATTTAAACTCCTAGCATCTTTCATTTCTTCCCCGAATTGCCCAAATGCTTAGGTTCTTTTTTTTGTTTATTTTTGGAGACAGGCTCTCTCTGTAGGTATGGCTAGCCTTGAACTTGAGGCTATTCTCCTGCCTCAACCTCCTGAGTTTTGGGATTACAGATGAATGCCACCACACCCAGTTTGTATTCTTTATAGACTTGCTGTCATTTTAAGAGATCTGTAAATCTGTGTGCATCATAACCTGGGATTCGTGTTCACATTGCAGGTTCCTCTGTCCTTCCGCAGAGGTGGGCTGGGAATTTTTTTTTTTTTTTTTTGGTACCACGGATCAAACTCAGGTCCTTGTGTGCTTGTGAGGCAGTGGCGGAACCACTGAGCTAAACCCCCAGCCCTGAGATACTTAAACTTATGTTTTATTAAGCACTTCGGCTGATAAACAGACGAGGTGTGGTAGTCCTAGGATTGTGCTAATAGTCCAAAAAAGCCACATTTGAGTTTTTTGTTTGCATCTTTCATTATTACATATATTACAGAAACTTGGACTTTTTTTGTGACAGTCTTCTTTATATAGTTCATGCTGTCCTTGAATGCATTATGTAGCCCAGGCTGGCCTTGAACTCGGCAATCCTGCCTCAGCCTCCCACGTGCTGGAACTGGAGGTTTGTGCCAGAACGGCCAGCTTGGACTTTGTTTTTTTTGGTGATTATTTTAAAAATGGGCTGGGGTTGTAGCTCAGTGGTAGAGAGCACTTGCCTAAGGGACAGTAGTAGGGCCCTGGGTTTGATCTACAGCATCATTTAAAAAAAAAAAAAAATTGCCAGGCGAGGTGGCACATGCCTGTAATCTCAGCACTCGGGAGGCTGAGGCAGGAGGATTGCTGTGAGTTTGAGACCAGAATGTGCTACATAGTGAGTTCCAGTTCATTCTCAACTACATAGTGAGACCCTGTCTCAAAAAACCAAAATAAGAAAAAAATTATCTTTAGGACTGGTGTAGCTACATGGTAGAACCATGTGCTTTTAGGGCCTTATCAATCCCTAGCACCAGAATTAAAATAAAAACTTCAAAAGTAATTTTCTAAGCAGTAGTGTACTTTTGGCCAAAGCCTTACAAGAATTTTTTGTAAATCTTTTGGAGCAAAGTGTTAAGGAGCTATAACTTTTAAAAAAACTAGCACAAGTGAGGAAATCATTTATAATTCCTGAGAAAATAGGTGACAGACTCCATATGCTTTATTCACCTTTGTGTACTCATGGAATAATTTGGTGTTCTGACAAATACTTGTTAAAGAACAGTAAGGGTT